ATACGGGGCCCACTCAGAACTAGCTACGCCAGTGTTAAAATGAGTACAGTCATTAGTTAACTTTGCTTCTCAGAAAGGTATAAACTGAGTCATAAAGTTGAATAAAATAATGGCAGCTTTATTCAATTTATTTATTGTGCTAATTTGATATTATCTGTTTGTAACGTAAGCTCATTTAATTTTAGAATCAGTTTAATGAGACTAATGTACCTTTTCTACAATCTTTTTGAAATCAGGAGTGAGATTACTCGTTTAAATTCTCATCACAACCTGCAAGTTAATGTCAACCAACTTGCATTTACATTTACTCTTGGTGATCTTCCTTTAAGGTATCCGACTACGTTCGGAACCGTGATTTTAAAAAAGCGCATAAATGGATAATTTTCCTGATATTTAGTGTCACTTAGATTAGAATACATGTATAAAATTGTTTTAAGGACATTTTTTGACAAATTGTTTTTTATTTAATTACAATATTTTGGCAAAAATTTAACTTAGAATAATTTTTTTTCCAAATGTTCTCCTTTTGTGAAAAATGCTTCTATTATAATAATATTGTGCCTGTATATAGCTCAGACCTCTGCACAGAGGCTCAACTCGAATTTTTGAAATATATAACTTAGAAGTGGATTTATCCATGTTTTACGACAACAGAGGAGAGCAATTTTAAGAAAAAAACGCCAATAATTAGTTAAATTGGTGGTAACTCTGAAAATAATATGAACTTTTCAAAAATTCTAGTTGAGTCTCTGTAGAGAGGTCTAAGCTATATACGGGCAAAATATTATTATAATAGAAGCATTGTTCACAAAAGGAGAACATTTTGGTAAAAGGTTATTCTAAGTTAATTTTTTGCCAAAATATTGTATTTAAATAATTTTTTTTTGTCAAAATGTCCTTAAAACAATTTTATACATGTATTTTAATCTAAGTGACACTAAATATCATGACAATAATCCATTTATGCGCTTATTTAAAATCACGGTTCCCAACATAGTTGAATACCTTAATACAGCGTTTATCAAACTGTGGGGCGAGCCTCCCTAGGGAGGGTGATAACTTTAGGAGGGGGCGCGAGCATATTGAAAAGTCTAAAACAGAAGGTTATTTAAAAAAATTATTTATTTATTGAAAGTAAGCAAACAAAATACATTCTGACAATAAAAAATAAAATACACATTTACACTGATATAATCTTTATATATAAAAATCTTCTGATGAAATTTTTTGTGTGGGTTCAAGTGGATTCGAGAATCGTTTAGATTCACAATTCGGTCTGGTATCACAATTAGTTAAAAAGATATCAATTAAAAACATCAAAACGTTCAACTCAATATTCACCTGCATTGTGGTAACAACGTTATTGTTATACAAATGACGTAAGTTGGCTCAAAAATCGATTTTCAGACAGACTGGCCAAACAGAGTCTTTATTGTTACAAAAATGCAGAGGAATCATGCTTTTTGACGTTTTTAATTAATATCTTTTCAAATAATCTTTATATATGTAATTCTTCTGTGCGTGTGTATGTGACTGAGTCCTCCTAAACGGCTGGACCGATTTTGATGACAATTTTTGAGTGGGTTCAAGTGGATTCGGGAATGATTTAGATTCCAAAATCGGTCCAGCCGTTTAGGAGGACTCAGTCACATACACACGCACAGAAGAATTACATATATAAAGATTATTTGAAAAGATATCAATTAAAAACATCAAAACGTTCAACTCAATATTCACC